CTGGATAGCCGACCAATGGACGTTGTTATGGTTCACCAGCGCCCCCAACATGTCGTCGCTGCTCGTGAATGCCTGCCACGAAGACGGCAAGAGAGGCCGCAACAACATTCGCCACGACGGAGGGACGACGGAATCCAGAACAGTCGCCAGCACGGAGTGGGAGTACCATCCTCCATCGCTCACGTGAAGGTCGGGGGGATCATCTGTCTGAGCCACCACAATGCCGCGTGCCACCTCCAAGTCGCCGTCCGAGAACTGCGGCGCCCCCAACAAATTGTTCAAGGCATGCCGGCCGCACACGGGAGCGCTGCCCTGGCGCTCAAGATACCGATCGCCCCACAGGGCGCCCGCGTGCCAGGCTGGCGGCGGCGGGAGCGGCCATGGGGGCACCCACGGCTCCGCCGCCGGCGGCGCGGTGGGCCCGCGCGCGGGGCCACCCTGCCCGTCACGATGCTCGGGGCCGCGGCCGTCGGCATGCCCGTCGCGATGGCGTGCGGGTGCCTCTTGGGAATGCTCTTGGGCGCGCTCCTCCCGCTGCTCTTGCCCCTGTTCTTCGGGGTGGTTTGGCCCGCGCTCCTCCCGATGATCTGCTGGGTTGGCTTCGGCGGCCAAGCGCTTCCCCGCTGCCAGAGCCAACTTGCCCGCTTTCCCCGTTGCCAGACCCAGCTTGAGCTTCGCTCTGGAATCGGCGCATTTCGCCCACTCCCTGGCTGCGTCGAGAAAAGCCGACCATCGATCGTCGTTGCCGACCAAGCGCCGCCATTGCTGAGACCTCACGTAGCCGTCCGTCCTATCGACGTCCTCCACAGTGCGGGCAGTCAGGTTCCGTGGCAAAGGCTCCTTGAGAAGATCCCATTCTTTGTCGATCGTCATCGTGCCAGCCATAGATCCCCTCGTGTGGCCCGTGTCGACGTCGGCGACGACCGCGGGGATGGGCCGGGAAAACTCGGCCTTCGGCTTCCTGGAGTGGTTCACGCTGTGGTGCTCCTCGAACCGCACGACGCAATCCGAGCAGCGGCACTTGTAGCAGCCCGCGCCGTCTGTCATGAGCAGCAGATTGTACTTGCGGTCGCCAAGGATCTCCTTGCAGAAAGCGTGATACGCCTCGGACGATTCGGGGGCCACGCGGCCCTCGCCGGTGGATTATCGGAGGAGGGGGAGTTGACACACTGGCACCTCAGACTCAGAGCACAATCGCCTCCCGGACCCTCCCCGGGGCCAACGAACGGACGTTTTCCGAACTGCGCCCGGCCGTGGCGACGAGAGCCCGGCCCCCCCTCCGGAGGGGACTCCGCCGGTGTCTGCAATGCCCCTCCTCTGAGATTTGCTCACGCCCAGCGGCATCATGGCGAAGTGGGACGTGCTACCTCGCTGGCGAATGCCAATGTAACAGTAATATGAATGCGTCAGCTCGGCGTTCTCCTCGGCTTTCCACTTGCAAATGACCGTGGCATCGACCTCCACCTCGACCGTTCGAGAAGAGCCGGTGCCCCACTGAATCCACCGCGCCCGCGCGGGGCGGCAGGCGTCGCCCCTCTCCCCTCGCCCCGGCGAGGGGTTCGTAGTCGGGTTCTAGTAGTACTCGTAGTTAGTAGTAGTAGTAGTAGTAGTAGTAGTAGTAGTAGTAGTAGTAGTAGTAGTAGTAGTAGTAGTAGTAGTAGTAGTAGTAGTAGTAGTACTAGTAGTAGTAGTAGTAGTAGTAGTAGTAGTCGTAGTAGTAGTACGTAGTCGAGTAGTCGAGTAGTAGTAGTAGTAGTAGTAGTAGTAGTAGTAGTAGTAGTAGTCAGTAGTAGTAGTAGTAGTAGCGTAGTAGTAGTAGTAGTAGTAGTAGTAGTAGTAGTAGTAGTAGTAGTACTGGTAGTAGGTCGTAGTAGTTGTAGCAGTAGTAGTAGTAGTAGTAGTAGTAGTAGTCGAAGTTGTACTCGTAGAAAAGTGTAGTAGTAGTAGTAGAATTTGTAGTAGTAGTAGTAGTAGTAGTAGTAGTAGTAGTAGTAGTAGTAGTAGTAGTAGTAGTAGTAGTTGCAGTACTAGTAGTAGTCGTGGTAGTAGTAGTAAGTCTTAGTAGTAGTAGTAGTACCAGTAGTACTAGTAGTAGTACTAGTAGTTGTAGTAGTAGTACTAGTAGTAGTAGTCGTAGTAGTAGTAGTAGTGGTAGTAGTAGTAGTAGTAGTAGTAGTAGTAAGTATTAGTAGTAGTAGTAGTAGTAGGAGTAGGAGGAGGAGGAGGAGGAGGAGGAGAACGAGGAGAAGGAGGGGGAGGGGGGGGAAAGGGGAGGGAGGGGGTAGGATAGGATAGGACTGCTGCTGCTGCTCCTCCTGCTGCTGCTGTTCCTGAACCTCCTCCGCCTCCCTCCTCCTCCTCCGCCTCCTCCTCCTCCTCCTCCTCCTCCTCCCCCGCTGTGTCCCCCCCGTCCTCCCCTCCTCCCCCCCGCCGTCACCCCTGCCCGACACCCCCCTCCTCCCCGGGCCGGCGACAGCCTCCCTGATACCCCTTTGCATGCGAATCGCTGCCGCAGACATGATCGCGCGAGCCCGGGCGTAGTAACCTTGCACGACGCCCTCGTGGATATTGAGCTGCCGCACTGCCACCGACTCAGGGACCCCTTCAGCGGCTAGCCACCACGCCATCACGCACATCGACACGCCCTTGCTGCCCTTCCCAAGCAGGCCAGAGAACAACGGATTGTGCAGAGCCACGGATTGGTGCACGCGGCACACGCCACACGCGTGCCACGCAGTCTCAATGATAATATCCTGCCCCTTTTCAGCATTGCATCGCAATTGGCCCAGCTCCTTCTCGGCGCCCTCGAGGAAGCTCGACTTCTTGGAGGATTGGCACTTCCCTCGCGGGCACGGCGTCCCTTTCAAGTCGTGCAAAATGCCAGCGGACACGAGGTAGTGGACGAACTCTTCTGGGGACCACCGTGCCATTTGCACAAAGTCCGTGTCAATCGGGGCCCTCGCCATCTTCTTCGCCCTCTCTTCGTACTCCCGCGTTCTGATAGATATGTGCGTGTACTTCAGCCTGGCGACAAGTGCAGCAGATCGGCGGTTCCGCATGTAATCCACGACGGCCTGGCTGCGGCAGTCCTCCACGACCTCGCCCTGCAGCGATTTGTTCGGGCACTGCGGCCGCTTGTGCTCCACGCTCCCACATCTGGAACAGTGCGGGAGAAGGTGCCTGGCTGCCGACACTCGTTTTCTCTTCTGCTGCTGGTCCCGCGGGGGCGCTGCAAGCGCCGCCACGGCAGTCTCGCTGGAATGCATGGCCAAGATTTCGGTGGCCTCGATGTGCTGCGCGACCCGCAACTTGGCGATTTCCGGATGCAGGGGCTTGTCCTTGTCCTCCGCCGCCTTCGCGATCATCCCCCGCGCTCTCTCGACCATCAGCTGGGGCCTCTTCGCCAGGAGCCCCTCGAGGAGGCCCTCCTTCTCAAGAGCACACCTCAATGTCAGCTTCTGGTCCAGGATGTTGTTCCTCCAACTCATCAACCGATCAAGGTAGCCAGGGTCCTCCTGAAGCACACTCCTCAAGGTGGAACCAGAATGTTTCCCGAAATCAAAGCGGTACTCCTCCTGAGATTGCGGCGCCTCCGGAGGTTTCCACCCCGCGTGGTGCCTAGCCTTTGCCTTTGCAACTTTTCTCTCCTTGGCCAAAGCAGGGTTCGCGAGCTCCTCCACAAACTCTTGACGCAGCTGCACCATCTCCTCCGGCGTCAGCACGTCGCGGCTGTCGGCGTGCGCCTTGCAAGGTGGCCCGCGGCTTTTGTGGCCTGTCCAGTCTCGGAAAACTCCGACGCATAGTCCGCAATCCGCCACCCATGCTGGGCCCAAGCGCTTTGAAGTGCCATGCGCTGTCTGGCAGGGGCGTCGGCTGTTCTTCCCTGGGGGGCCCCGGGAGGACCCGCGCGGACCGCCACTCCCCGCGATGCTGCGCTGGCACGAGGGCGGGGCTGGCTGTAGCCAGATGGATAGCCTGCGCGCTTCTTGATGACCATCCACTTTTCGAGGTCCGCGGCCGAAAACTCATCGTCCTCCGCCTGGCCCTCCGAGCCCTCCGCGCCAGCCGCCGCTGCGGCGGCGGCGCCTGCCGCCGCAGCAGCCGCCGCGATCCGCCGTGCGCCCTGGCCGCGCCCCGCGCCGCCGGACGCCTCGGCCTTGGCGTTCGCCGCCGCCGCTGCCGCCTGTAGTAGGGCACGGCCTCGGCGAAGCCGTTGCCGTCGCCACCGCCGCCGCCGCGTGCACCAGAACAAACGCGATCGCTCCCTGCCGAAGAATATCGCGGTGGTGTCTGTGGTGTTGTTGCTGTGGAGCTCCAAGACGCCCAAGTCGGAGCCGGCGATGATCGTGATGGTCACGGTGCTGCTGCTGAGGTCTGGCGTGCTGCTCACGGCGAAGCCAACTGGATCCTGCACGCGAGAAGGCAGGTAAGCATACACCGCCACCACGCCAGGCCAGGGCCATCCTGGACCCCGGCATGGTGTATGCGCCCTCCTGCCTTGGGCAGGAGGGTCGATACAGCATCCTGCATCCCAGGATGGCCCTGCTGAGGCATGGTGGTGGTGCGTGTAGCTTCCCTCTACGGATCCTGGACCGCCAAATCCGGGGAGCCCGGGTAGAGCGACCAGTCGCCCCAGGCGGAGCCGGTCAAGCCGCCCTCGAAAACCACCCTGGTGATCGCCATCATGGCCAGACGACCGTAGGCGAGGGCCACCATCGGCGCCGTTAGGCTATGCCGTCGGGGCTTAGAGATATGGAAATATGGGAGGAGCTTAGGACATCAGCTTGCTGAAAGCCAGGGCGCAGGGCGCCACTCGAGCCAGCCGATGACATGAGGGCGATGGCGACGACGACGACGCAGACGACCGCTGTCGCGACGACATGGGAACTGGCTGCTGACATCGCGTGGGTCGTTCACTCTTGAGCGATCTGCGCACCTGGAGGCCGTCCTGGAATCATGATTTCGGACCGCGGGTCGATTTCCGTGAGTCCTGGGGCCCG